GAGGACGGGCTCCAAAAGAAGTGACGGGAAAGCTGCCGACAGGGGGCTCCCCCTCCCCCAGAGCGCCACCCCTTCCTGGGGGTACTTTGTTTTATTGTGCTTCAATAAAACAAAGATATTCGTTCTTTTGTTCTTTCGTCCTTTTTTCTTTCTCTCTTTCTCTCTCTCTCTTTTTCTTTTTTACAAATTGAACGTTTGTGGCCACTCTGCATCAAACAAGTCTACTAGGGAAATTCATGGCCTGCTAGATTGGAAAAACTCAGTTTTTTTAAAAGTTTTTTTTTCCATTTTGTTGGCCACAACATTTTTGACAGGAAAAGTAGCAATCATGAACTTTTTTTTTCCTCTGTAAGAAGAGTGAGATATCTTTTAATATTATTATGAAGACCTTTAAACAAAATACTTGTAAGTGGTAAAATGACAAGAATGCTGTAAGTATTAGGTTGTGTGTGTTTTTAAGTAAAACTTTCCCCTCCTGGTTTTTAAAGTAATAAATGTTCTTTGTAGGACATGTAGGGTGTTAGTTGGCTCAGACTGCCATAACAGAACACTACACACTGGGTGCTAAAACAACAGAAATTAATTTTCTTACAGTTCTGGAGACTGGAGGTCCAACATCAGGGTGCTAGCAGGGTTGGTGTCTGGTGAGGCCTCTTTCTTTGGGTTGCAGATGGCTCCTTTCTTCCTATGTCCTCATGTGGCCTTTCCTCTGTGTGTGTTTGGGGGTGGGAGGGGGCGAGATAGATCTCTGGTGTCTCCTCCTATTCTTATAAGGACACCACTCCTATTGGACTAGGGCCCCATCTTTGTGACTTCTTTTAAGTTTATTACCTCCTTAAAGGCCTGTCTCTAGATACAGTCACATTGGGGGTTAATACTTCAACATAATGACTTTTGGGGAGAAACTATTCAGTCTATACATATAGAAAAGCATGAAGAGGAAAAAAATCATCTATAATACCATTAATTCCCCAGATAAAACCACTGTTAACATTTTTGTTGGTATTTCTCCAGTTATATTTCTGTTGCATTTTCAAAGCTTGGCAATTATAACGTAGTATTTTTTCATTTAACATTCTTTGAAGTTGGAGATTGCAAACTCAGATGCTTGTAAGTGTCAGGCAGACAGGCAAGGTAACAATGATAACTAACATTTGTTAAGCCCTAACTGTGCCAGATATGTTTCCAGAGGTTTATGTGTATTATATATGTTATCTCTCTTAACCTTCACAACAACCCTGTGAGGTATATACCATTATCATCTCTACATTTCAGATGAAGAAAATAAGGCATAGGGAGGTAAAACAACATATTTAAGGGCACACAGCTAGTAGGTAGCTGCATTAACATTGAGACCTAGCTGTTGAAGTGACTGAAGTGGGGTGGCTGGCTACTGTGGTGAACTTGAGAGAGCACGTCCCATCTGCGGGGCACCATTGCTCGTGGAGGAATGGTAGTCTAGTGTAGTAGATCTTTGAGTTTTTTGATAGCCTTGAAAAATCTGAATTTTTATATGAAATGATGGCAATTAGGAAAATTAAAAAATAACAGTTAAGTCAGATCTCATCTGCAGATTACAGCTGGCCTATATTTATAAAATAGCGTTCTTAGTAGTAGTATCTACCTCCTAAGTGTGATGTGAGAGTTAAATGGGGGCATTTTGTATACAACATGTAGCTCAGTAGCTGGCATGTAGCACTAAGTAAATGTTAGCTATCATCAGTAGCACAAATATTTTCTCCAGTCATCAAAATTCTTTATAAGTATCACTATTGTTTTTATTTTGAGAAATTATGTAAGTAATACATTGGTACGTGACTGTTGTAAAAAACTCAAACAATGTGAAAGAATGTTTAAAGGACTGAAATTGCATTTGCTTCCTACTCCTAACTCCCTAGCCCTCTCCTTATAGAATTAAAAACCACATATGCTGTGCTTATCCTTCTGGCATTTGCGTTTTTATTACTTAGTATGTCTTAGAGATCTTCCAAAGTCAGTTTAGACAAAGCTACTTCATTGTTTTTAAAGGTTGCACGGTGTATTCTTTAGTATGGATGTACCATAATTTATTGAACTAGGCTTCTCAATTGTCATTTCAGTTTTCGATTTTTTACTGTTATAAAAAAGGATCTGCAAAGAGCATATATTGCTCTTTGCGCACATTGGTAAATATTTCCCTAGGGGTTTGATCCTCGGATGAAATTGCTGAATGAAAAGTATATTAAGAATTTTCACAGTTACTGTACTTTTGTTAAATGTATTTTTAGTATCTTTGTAATATTCCGTTTTATGAATCTACTGATATTATCATTTCCTCTTGTTGACACATTTAGATTTTTTTTCCAATTTTTTGCCACTATAAATGGTTCTGTGATAAATATCTTTGTGAGTAGGATATGTTTTTAAAAAGATAAATAGTCTGAGAGGAAGTTATCAACTAGTAACTATATTTCTGAGACTTTACTTTCTGGGAGCTATTATAAGAGTCGTATTCATTGGTAATATATTATTTTTAGAAAAATAGAGCTTTGATAAAGGCCTGGCCTAGGGTTTTTAATGTTATACTCAAGATTTTTAGACTCTTTTATATGTTTCATTTTAGGTGTTATCATCTAATGAAGAACACTGAAACAGCAGATTGAATAAAGCCTTGGAACAGCTAGATTAGAGGTTTAGAAAAGAAAGTTAAAATTAGTCACTTTGGTTTTTAGTGTTCCAACTTCATAATATTTATTCTTTATTCTAAATAGATTTAGGGAGTAGAAGTTAAAATTCAGTGCTATACCAAAGGAAGCACTTATATTTGTTCTGTTTTTTTTCTTTTTGTATGAGAGAAGAAGGTAGATAACCAAGAGATATAGTGATTCATAATGAAATATACTAAGTTGAATTTTGTGATGTCAGTTCTTGGCATTATAATCTATATAGCTGATTTAATTGTGGACATTTGGGTGACTGTCAGGTTTTTCCATGAAGGACAATATGTTTTTGGTATTTTAACAGTAGGCTTTATGCTCTTTGGAACACTTGTGGTACAATGTTTTAGTTATTCTTGGTTCAAGGCTGATTTAAAGGAAGCAGGCCAAGAAATCCAGCATTGTTTTCTTCTACTTCATTGCTTGCAAGGAGGAGTTTTTACACGGTGAGCATACACTTTCGATCCTTAACACTATTATTCTTTTATTCATTTAGAAGCTACCTTTCTGAACGAATATATGTATGTATATGTATGACTGGGACATTATGCTGTACACCAGAGACTGACACATTGTAATTGATTATACTTCAATAAAAAAAAAAGTTTAGAATATTAAAAAAAAAAGAAACTACCTTTCTGTATCTGGGTAGTCAATGTACAAAGTTCCCCTGTTTGCATGTAGCACAAAGGTCACTTGCTCCTCACTAACAGTGCTTATGTAAGTTATTGTACTGTCAGAATTTTCCAGGTTCATTATTGGAATGTTTTAATTTACCTAATTAAGTTACTTTTTCTAATATGTACTTACTTTTTATGAGAAGGAAAAGGGCTCATTTCTATGTCTTGTAAATCTTTTATTCTCTATTTTATATTTTAAGACTGATTATGTAAATATAGCCTCACTTGCAACTCTGAAAGAACACTTATTTTTTAAGTTACTTATAGCATTGATTTAACAAAATGAAATTTATTGCAATAATGCAGTAGCTGTGGTTAACTAGGTACAGAATCATCCACAGAACTAAAAACAACCTTAAGAATCATGTTGTTTAAAATCTTTTTTATGGTTAAAGGAAGTAGGATCTAAATAAGTCCTGAGAATTCTACGGTTTTCCATATACCTAATTTCATGAGCTTTTTATTATTATCTTAAGGGATTTAATTCTGTTAAAAGAAATATATATATGTGTGTGTGTGATATATGTATACATATACATATATGTATACATATACATATATGTACACATACATACATACACATACACATACACACACACACACACAAGGAAAAGAGAAGAATTAAAGACAAATATTAAGTGGATAACATACTATTTTGTAACGGTTAGGTTTTGAATTTGGGCTATTTTGATAGCCATCTTTCCTCAGAGATATTTTAGTGGCCACAGAATTCTAGATGAGTAGTTATTTTCTCTTTGCAAATTACATTCTCTTGTCTTTTTGTTTCCATTGTCACTACTGCATAGCTAGATGTCAGTCTTACTCTTGTTCTTTAAACGTAATTTGTCTTTTTTCCCTTTGGCAGATCTTACAATTTTTCTCTAAATTTTTGGGTTTCTACAGTTTATGATGTATCTGGATGTAGGTTTATTTTTATTTCTTTTGTTTAGGATTTGCTGGTTCTCTTGATTCTATGGGTTGTTATCTTCCGTGAGCTCTGCATAATTCTCAGCCATTAACTTTTCTGACATTTTCTTTACCACATTTCTGTCTCTTTTTTCTTCTGGGACTCCAAACAAATTAAAAAAAAGTTAGACCTTCTTGCCATTTCTAACATGACTGTTTTATGTTAGATTGTTTACTTGAGATTTTTGTTTCCTGAATTAAGCTCATATTTCTATAAACAAGCTCATATTGCTTTTGCTGCATTCCATAGAATTAGTATCATGTTTTTGCTTTTGTTTGTCTCCAGGTATTTTTTTTTTATTTCCTCTTTGATTTATCAGTGACTCATTGTTTAGTAGCATGTTTTTGTTTTGTGCGTTTTTTTCTTGTAGTTGATTTCTAGTCTCATGCCACTGTGATCAGAACAGACGCTTGATGTAATTTCAATCTTCTTAAATTTATTGAGACTTGTTTTGTTATCTGTCCTGGAGAGTGTTACATGTATACTTAAAAAAAATGTATATCTTGCTGCTTTTTGATGGAATGTTCTGTATATAATCTATTAAGTCCATCTGGTTTAATGTGCCATTAGGGCCAGTTTTTCCTTATTGATTTTTCTATCTGGGTGATCCATCCATTGATATAAGTGTTACTGTTGATTTCTCTCTTTATGTTTGTTAATATTTGCTTTATATATTTAGGGGGTCCTATGTTGGGTACATATATATTTACAGTTGTTATATCTTCTTCTCACCAATCTCCAGCAGCCAGTCGCAGCTTGTCCCTGACGACTCATGTCTAGGACTGGGGATCGCAGGGACCCTCTGTGTCAGTTTCCCTTAGTTCTGTCTGCCAGGTGGTTGCCATTTTCTCCTCCAGACATCAGAAGCTCCACTTCTGTCCCCGCTGACTTCCCAGCTGGAGAGGGGGCATCCCAGTGTGATGGTGCCTTTCTTCCTATGCTACTCCCTCCCCTCATGATCAATCCTGCGCTGATTTTTTCTTTTTCTTTTTTTTTCCTTTTTTTCTCTTACCGGATTTTGTGAGAATTCTCCTGTGTTTCGAAGCAAGAGACAGAATTCAGTAGGTGTTCTGTGTGATTCAGTTGGTTTGTACTTTCACAACATAATATTTACATTTCTGTTGAGTGGTTATTTCTTCTGCCTTGTATTGCAGCTAGCACTTTATAGGCTTGACCTTCATATTAGACTGTAAGGTCATTAAAGGTGAAGGTCATGTTCTCATCACTTATGTAAACATTCTTTCCTGGCATCTAGCCGACACTGAATATAATGGGTCATGTTATAATAAAACTGTGATGATAAAAATGTACTTTTGTTTGCTAGGTGAAGATTCTTTGCATAGCCATATAGGTATCCGTCTTGTTTACAGTAAGAATATCTTATATTTGTGTTACACTTTCAACTTTTTCAAAGTTCTTTCATATCTACGTCTCTTTATCTTTATGGGAAAATTGTTGTGAACTTTCATTTATTCATTGAGTAAATATTTTCTGAGAACCTACTATGTGCCAGGTACTCTTCTAGTTGTTTTAGGATGTAGCAATGAATGAAACAAAAGTCCCTGCTTTCATGTAAATTTTATTTTTTTATGAGAAGGTACAGATAAAAAAAGTAAACCATGTGTCAAGTGTTGGTAAAGAAAAATAATGGAGGATAAAGAGTTAGAATGTGATGGATGGTGTGATCTGGGAAGATCTCCATGAGGAAGTGGCATTTAAGTAGAGATCTGAATAAATTTAAGGAGTAAACTTGTACAATTTCTGGGGTTTAGAAGAGTTCCAGGAAGAGTATTAGCAAAGCAAAGGCCTTTAAAGTTGGGAAAAGCAGCAAGATGGGTACACTAAAAGCACGGGAGAAATAAGATGGAGAGGTAGTGGGGGTAGTGTGTCTGTGAAGCAGATTATGAAGGGCCTTGTAAGGTATGGTGAGGGCTTTAGGTTTTATTCTAAATTTGATGGAAATCACTGGAACATTTTGAGTGGAGGAGTAAAATCTGAATTCTGGTTAAGAGATTCAATCTAGATGCTGTGTAGAGAATAGAATGCCGAGGGAGCAGGAGTAGAAGCAGAGAGACCAATTATGAGGCAATAGAAGTAATCCCGGTCAGGAATGTTGACTGGTTAAACTAGGATGGAGGCAGTAGAAGTGATAAGATGTGCTTAGATTGGGATATATTTGAATTTAGAATCAGAACCAAGAGAACCTGCTGAGGAATTTTTATAGGGTATGAGACAAAGCAGTTGGAAAGTATTACCACTTTTTGGTCTGAGTAACATGGTGAATGTTAGTGTCATTTACTGAAATGGGAAACATTGACAGAAGGAACAGGTTGAAACAGAATATATAGCACTGCCCTAGTTTTATATATGAGGAAGCTGAGGTGTGGATAAAGAGTTTCAATAATCTTTGGGCTAGAATGCTGGTTGTCTTATTGCTAGCCCCAGATATTTTCAAAGTAAGTGTCTCAATTTTTTGTTATTAATTTACTTGAATGATGATAACTCATGTTTATTTAAAAATTCTTTCTAAAGAAGAGCCTGAGCAAGGATATTTTAAGAGTCTTTGAAACATTGTATATTTTCCAGGATGGTAATGATGGAAGAGCCTAGCACCTTGTAGATTATTGAGTACAGTTGACCCTTGAACAACATGGGTTTGAACTGTATGGATCCACTTATATGTAGATTTTTTCTAGTAGTAAAAACTGCAGTACTACATGATTTGTGGTTGGCTGAATCCACAGACAGGGAACCAAGGGTACACAGGGCTAACTATCAGTTATGCTCAGATTTTCAACTGCACAGGGTCAGTACCCCTCACCCCTAATTTGTTCATGGGTCAGTTGTAATTATTTGCTAGATTAAATTGAAAGAAGATTCAATCTCATCTTCAACCTTGACATTATCTTAAGGGGATGTATCTGTCTTTTAGTTAAGATAAATTACATGAAGTGAAAATTGCAGTTTGTCTTTCAGAATGTAGTGGGTAAGACTTGAAATCATAAGATCTAAGTTTGGACTTTAGGTCTGCCTCTTACACTCTGTGTTTCTTTCAGCACATCATTGTTCTCAGCCTTACTTTTTCCATCTGTTAATTTAGAATAATACCTATTCATCTCTCATAATATTGGGAAGATGAAATAAGATTATGCATGTTTAACAGTGCTGGCACACACTGGCACATCAAACATGCAATAAAAGTTATGGAGACTGCACAGATATAGAAAACAAACTTATAGTTACCAAAGGAGAAAAGGGCGGAGAGGGCTAAATTAGGAGTTTGATATTACTAGATACAAACTATTATATGTGAAAGAGATAAACAACAAAGTCCTACTGTATAGCACAGAATTAATTATATTCAGTACCTTGTAATAAACTATAATGGAAAAGAATCTGCCAAACATATAACTGAATCACTTTGCTGTGCACCAGAAGCTGACACAACACTGTAAATCAACTATACTTCAATAAAAAAGAAGTTGTGGAGTCTGAATCTCATAAAGCCACCATGAGATGTTCACAAAGTTGAGAGAAATTTATAGTAGGGGAAGTTTGTGGGAAGATTCTATACTGAAACACATGTTGCTCTCTTCAGAATTATTATGTATATTAACACATATAAAGAATGTATTACTGAAGGTAAATGTTCATGTTTACTTTACAGGTATTGGTTTGCCTTGAAGAAGGGTTATCATGTGGCTTTCAAATATAGCAGCAAAACTGATAACTTCGTGGAAGAACAAATTGATCCTCATAAAGAAATTATAGATAGAGTGACAGATTTGAGCATGCTAAGGCTCTTTGAGACCTACCTGGAAGGCTGCCCACAGCTTGCTCTTCAGCTCTACATTCTTCTGGAACATGAGCAAGCAAATTTCTCTCAGTGTAAGTCTTTCTTAACACCTTTTGTTAGATGGTTTGTTAGATGGTCACTGATATCTTATGTCAATTATGTAACTCGTTGGGAGGTTAGATTTATTTTTTTTTATCATTTTTCTTTTTAGAATTATTTATATTTTGAAAAGAAGTACATGGTTCAAATATCAAAAAGTGTATAAAGATACGTTGTCTCCCTCCCCCTTCGTCCTATTCCTCCCTTTGTTTGCCCAGAAAGGAAAATATTGTCAGCTTTTTGATGATTCTTTCAGAAAAGAATTTAAAAGCCTATCATTTTTTCTTTTATAGAAATGGTAACATAAAACTGTTTTTGTTTTTTGCACTTAACAACATAAACAACATATCTTGGAGATCTAAACATATCAGTACAGAAAGAGGTCCCTCATTTATTTTTATTATTTGCATAGTATTACAAATTATGGATGTATCACGAATTAGTTAACATGCCCCTCTTTATGTTAATTTAGGTTGTTTCTACTGTTTCGCTATTGCAGAAAAAATGCTGCAATGAATCATCTTGTGCATGCATCCTTCTGCATGTGTGAATCCCATGTCTGTCCATAAGGTGAATTCCCAGAATTGGAATCATTGGGTGAAGGTGCCAGTGCTACAAAACTAATGAAAGTTTTGCAGATTCACCAGTATGTTGCTCTTCTGTAGCGGATTTCCTCATTTGGGTTAAATGTACATTTTTAAAGGACAATTTGGTATTTCCATTAAAAAAATCTTTTAATAGGCATTTAATTTGAGATATTAAAAACTCTATTTATTTGTTAAATAATAGTTTCAATATTCACCATCAGTGTAGCAGATTATCCTCTCCTCCAGAGTTTCCTTTATGCTTAGACTCACCTGTGAGATCAGTTCATCCCCCAGTCTTCCTGTTCCTAGTTTCCCGTATCTAGACTGGAGTCCCTTCTAATGTTTTTACCTTTACTTTGGTTGTTAGTATGACACTGAAATGAACCTACTGTGTATGAGACCTCTTTTTCCTTGTGATGCAAAGAATATGTGGATTGGGACTTACAGGTTCAGTATTATATAGTCCCTGAAGCTAGAAGGTCAACATTTAGAGCTTATAGCCTGTATTATGGCTAAAAGCGAATGTGAACTGTGACTGCTTCTGGGCAGTGGGATTATGAGTGACTATATTTATTTTATCTTCTTTATACTTTTCTGAATTTCTAAATTTCCTACAATAACCATATATTGCTTTGATAGGAAGAATAACTCAAAATGTAAAAGAAAAAAATGTAAAAAACAAGTTTATATATATATAAGTACTTCAGAAGGCTGAACATATTCTTTTATCTTGTTCCTTCCTGAAATCATGCTAAAGAGTAGACTAATGGGGTAAAAACAATATAAACCCACAAGGACAAAGAGAATGCAGAGTAGAACAGCAAAGAAGAAATATCAGCAAGTATTTAGAAGATGGAAAGCAGATGGAAAACTTGGGTTATTCAAATCAGTTCTACCACTGAAAGGCTAAATTATTTGAATCAACCCTCCCTCTGAAATTACCTAAAACAATTGGATAAATATTTTCAAAAGTCTTCATAAAAGCCTAACACAGTCTGATATAACAGGCCAAAATGTGCATGAAAGTGGGAATGCCAGGGTTAAGTAGGACCGTGAGGGCATTTATACCCTTAGGGCTTGTATATAAACTTATAAACAGCAGGTTTGGTTTTGATGGCTTCCCAGGGTGTGGAGGACTGGAGACAAAACTCAGGGTACTCACAAGGGAGGGACATCTGGTAGAAAATCCTAATCCACAAAGCTGGCACACCAAAAGGCACCCTGCTCAGGATAAAAGTGACGTTATCTACCTCACTCTCCACTTCCAAGAGACTGCAAGGAATATTGCTTTGGTGCTGTCTAGAACAGGGGAAAAAAAGTCCCTGAGAAGTTATAACAACATGATTTGTGACCAAAATTCGCGTTTCTAACTAGTCCAAAACACAAAACAAAACAAAGCACCTTCAAAACAAATAAAGGCCAAGTTATGATATAGTTTAAATGGTCCCAGACTGATAGTGCCCCTAGGTGTCTGGCAGAAACAAGTATAAATCCTCCCTGGAGGAGTCCACCTTCTCACAGTTTTCCAAGGAAAATGAATAGTTTATACTAGTTTATAGCACCAGAAGAAATGAGGCACCGAGAGTAAGAATCAGCAGAAATAGAAAAAAACTCAGTGAGACATTAGATATTAGAAATTACCAGGTGCATTGTATTATGTTGAAAGGAGTAAATGATGAACTTGAAAATATGAAATAGGAAACTATAAAAATGAGTTCTATATTTGAAAAAGAAAAAAGTAGAATTTATGAGATGGAAAGAGATAGAAAATATAAGAGATATTAGGAGTCATGGAAGATGGGATGAGAATGTCTAGCATACATCTGATCAGAGTTCATGAAGGAGAGGAGAGGAAGAATGGAGCAGAGGCAATATTTGAAAAGTTAATGGCTGAAAAGATTTCAGAACTGATGAGAGTCACCTACCCACAGATTCAAGAAGCCCATCATTTCTCAAGCAACTAAGTAGAAAGAAATCCATTTACAGATACTAACTGCTATATCTATAAAATAGATAAACAACAAGTTTATACTGTGTAGCACAGGGAACTATATTGAATATCTTGTAGTAACCTATAGTGAAAAAGAATATGGAAATGAATATATATATGTATATGTAGGACTGAACTATTATGCTGTACACCAGAAATTGGCACAACGTTGTAAACTGATTATACTTCAATTAAAAAAAAAAAAGAAATCCATACCACAGCGTATAACTACTAAAGAAGATAACAAATAATGTCCTTCGGATAGAACAGAAGTATTCTGAGATGCAAGCAGGAATAAAGAGCAAAGCAGGTAGTAAATATGTGGGTAAATCTAAATGAAAATTGACTGTATAAACAAAAATTCTACTGTGTGGCTAAGAAAAGGTAGACTAAATGTACAAGGAAGCAATAACCTGTAAGTCAGGTGGAAGGTGAATGGAGTTAAAGTGTTTAAAATTCCTTGTGTAGTTTGGGAGAAAGGTAAAGCAAAGGTGGATCTGGGTCTTTTGAGATATAAAACTAAAACATTTAGAGAGACCTTATTTTAAAAAAGAATGTATTATTAGAAAAACAAAATTAGATATTATGTTAGTCTGCTTGGGCTGCCATAACAGAATTATCACAGACTGGGCAGCTTAACCAACAGAAAGCTATTTTCTTACAATTCTGGAGACCAGAAATCCAAGGTCAAGATGTCAGTAGGGTTGGTTTCTGGTGAGGAATCTCTCTTTGCACTTGATCTTAGCCAGAAGGCCGAGAAGTGGTAGGACTCTCTCTTTGGATTGCAGGTTTTGGATTGCAGACCTTCTTGCTGTGTCCCCACATGGTCTTTACTCTATGTATGGAGAGAAAGCGAGTTCTCTGGTGGAGAACTTGTCTCTCACAAGGACATCAGTCCTATTAAATTTGGGCCCCACCGTTATGACCTCTAATATGATGGTATTAACCCTAATACCCTCCTAAAGGCCCTGTCTCAATGTGTAGTCACACTGGGACTTAGGGCTTTAATATGAATTTTGGAAGAACACAATTCAGTCCATAAAAGGTATGAAAGTAGGCACTGTTTTAAAATAAGAAAATAATTTACAGCAAATTACAGGGATAAGAAAGCTGACCAGTACCACAAACTTCAAAAGAGAAAGAAAAGTAGTATATCTTTATTATTTTAATACTCTTTTCTCTACATTTTTTGGCTATTTACTCTCTGATTGGCTTTTGACTTGATAATGATTTTATAATACAATTTCTATAGAGAGAAAAGATTCAGTCTTTTTTCTAACATAGTTAATTGAAATTTGTTTTTTTATTTATTTTTAATTTGGGAAAGTTTCAACTTCACAAATTAATGATAATATTATATGTATTTTTTTGATTCTTGTCAAATTTGGGAAAAGCTCCAACAATTTCTTCAGATAATATGCCATAAGATTAGAATAGATCAAGATTTTTTATTTTTGGTGAACTAATTTTAAATACTGTTTGAATTAACAACACTAGTTTATTGTCAATGTCTCATTTAGTGAATATTGGGAGTCTTACTGGGAGTTTTCTTCACTGGTGTCAGTAATGTCAAATCAGAAGGAAATTAGTAAGATTCTATATAAGTATGATTGGGCAAGGTCATTTCATACCAACAGGAGTGCAGAAGCAAAGGCATGGTTTGGCAAAGACAAGGAATTTAGTTTGGATAGAGTGAAATGTACAGATTAGACTAGCAAAATGATCAGGAAAATTATGTTGGGAACAGGTAGGTATGTGGGAAATGGGAAATGATGTCAAACTGATAGCACCAGCTGAATGAGCATAGTCCATTGTGCCTTAACGTTAAGTAGTTAAAGGCTTGTTGAGGGCAGTAATCATGTAGTGTTAAGATCAGGAGAACTGCTTGAGAATCCTAGATCTGTCACTTACTAGTTGTAGTTATTCAAGCAAATCTTG